GGAATTGTAAGCTCTTGGAAATCAGAATCTATTTTTAGTTATTATTAAATTTTATTAATTCTGAAATGCATTTTTCAATATGATTAACTTCCTTGAAGTCAAGATGCATCTTATAATCAATGATGTCTTAAACACTGTAATAGTTTAATTGGCAGTATTTCTTCTTTCTTGGTGGTACATAAAATAATGGTATGCCTTATATTCTTAAATTCCATAAAATACCATTCTGAGGGGCATCGTTGCAGTCTTTAACCAAGTATGAAGCTCACTGTAGATACTCCATAAGGGCTTGTTGGTTGATTTATTTCCTAGTTATATGGTTTTGAACCACAGAAGTGACTGCAATAAAGTTAACCCACCTATCTAGCACGTTACTAATTTAAGAAAATAAAACAAAGATGATTTGCTTTTTGAGAGAAGGTAGAAAAGATGAAAAAAGAATTAGACAAATATATGGAACCTACTTATTTTAAAAAATGTATATTATAAAGGATAGAACTCAAAATTTCTGAATTATGTCCTAAGCTGTTTTTCTCCAGGTTTTGAAAAGATCTCACTTGTTTTGGGCCATGTGAGAGCCTTAAATATCACTTACAGACATGCAAATAATTAATATTTGGAAGGAAATATAGAAAGTTTCTGCTTCTGTTTTTTTTTTTAGTTTTTTATTATTCCCATAACCATGCATATATAAACAAAAATGTTGTATAATCAAAACTTTTCAGTAACAAATTCATATGAGGCATTGTATTCATAAATTTGCATTCATATTTGCTTTAATTGAACTAATTTTTTGAAAATGTCTTTTAAAAGTTCACACAGTAGCAGTACTATAATCATGAGAGAAGTTTGGGTTTTTTCTGTATTCATTTCAGGCTGTGTCTGCATATTTTCAGTGAGGTACAGAATTGAGACTGTTAACTCAAGCCAAAATTTTTAATGTAAAGCAGTGATTCCCAAAGTGGGCGCTACCGCCCCCTGATAGGCGCTGCAGCAATCCACGGGGGGCGGTGATGGCCACAGGTGCATTTGGGGGCAATGAGTAACTGCTATTAAAATTTAAAAAAAATTAATTTCCAGGGGCTGAGTAATATTTTTTCTGGAAAGGGGGCGGTAGGCCAAATAAGTTTGGGGACCACTGATGTAAAGTATATGTTTGGTTATTTATGTTTTTACCCATATAAGCCATATCTGAATTAATGAAGATTACTTTCTCCTATGATGATTTTATTATGTAAGATGTCAGAATGTGTATCATAATGGGATAAAAGTAAGCATTGGGATCCAACTAACCTGAGGTTCAATCCAGGACCCACTGTTTACTAGCTTTTGCATTTCAATCAGTTAATCTCAAAGTGGGATTTTTGCGAGGATTAGAAGTGGCACTTGGAAAATGACTAGCATAGCACTTGGCATAGACACTCTAAATCTGTTAGAAAAATGTGTGGGGGTGGTGGCATGGGAACATATTCCTGGCTGTATTCACTTCACTTCCCATTTTCCCCAGATCTAGGGTCCCTTAGCCCTTGTAAGGATGTGCCCCCTCTTTCAGGACAACCCTTTATCAATAATGTCCCAGCATAAGCAATGCTTCCTCCATGGATGGAATGCTGCCTGCTCCCTCTGGCCTGGGTCTCATAACTTTAGCCTCTTCTTTCTTCTCTATCAGGACTCCAGGCCTGAGAGTGATGCTTCTCCCAACCCCTCTGCATCCAGGCAAGCTATGTGTAAAGAAGTTTTGCCCTTAAAGGGCTTTTTGGAAAAGCATACAAGTCAACTTGATTCAATATTTAGCACTTGTTCTACTTCACTATGTGTAATGAGCGATGTGACTTAGGCAAATCAGTTTACTTCTCTGGACCTTGGTTCCTCTTCTGTAAAATAAAGAGTTGAGTTGGATAGAATCAATGAATAGAATCAGTGTATTAGTGCCTGATGCTACTGCAGGCATGTTAGTATTACCAGCAAGGACTGCAGTGACCAATATGCAACATCTTCTATAGAGTGATGTGGTACTAAAAGCATGGGCTTTTGAGTAAGAGGAACTCTGTTCAACTATCCTTATTAGTAGAATCTAACAAACAAATGCAAACTCTGTGACCAAATGCTAGGTCCTTAAGTTTCAAATAAAATGTCCTTCTCTTCAAAAATGTAGAAGATATTACCTCCTTCATGGGGTTGTCATGAGGATTGAATCCGATAGTGTTTGTATAATGCTGGGACCTCGAATCAGTTCTTACTGGGGAGGTTCAGTTTCCATCTTACTCAACACTATCAGCAGCATATGACACAGCTGATCACACTGTCCTCCTTGAAACACTTTCTTTATTTGTACTCTTAGACCTCTCTTTCCTATCTCCTGGACTTCTTCTTAGTCTTCTTTGCTTAATCTTCCTCATCTTCCTCACCCCTGAATGAGGGCACACATTGGGCTTCTCTATCAACCTTCAGAACTAGATCATCTCATTCAAACTCATGGTTTTAAATGGAAGCTTTAAGCTGATTACGACAAAATTTTTATCTCCAGCAGAGATCTCTACTATGAAGTCCAGTTTCATATGTGCAGCTGCCCACTTGGCATCTCCTTTTGGTTGAATAATAGGCATATAAACTCAACATGTCCCAAACTGAACTTTTCATCTCCACATCATCCCTTTCTTGGTAAATGACAAATCTACTCTTTAGTTGCTTAGGCCAAAAAACTTTGGAATTATCCTAATCTCCCTCATCAGTCTACTAATAAATCCTATTGTCTTGGTTCTCATGTATCTGGAATATGATTACCGGTTACCTCCCCTCTGCTGCCTTTCTAGCTCAAGTCACTGTCATTTTCCATCTTGGCCATTGTAGTACCTTTTAACAAATCTCTCTGCTTCCATTTTACCCCATCTCCTCACAGCAGCCAAAAAGATCTTTCTGCAGCATAAGCATAGTATCATGTCATTTGTCATCGATTGGGTTTCCCTAGAAGCAGACTGAAGTAGAATTTAGCATGTAGAACTATTTTAAGGAGTGTCCTTGGGATCAATATATGTGGAAAGGAGGAGAGGGTCTGGATTGGTCAAACGGAGAATTCAGGAGGTTATACGGGCCCAATGACAGGCTTGGCCAACCACATGTTGGACTTTAGAACTAGAATGGTGTGGAGAGTGGCTACAGTGTTCGGACAGGATCAAGCCTTGGACTAACTTGTGGCAAAGCCACATACAAGTCCCAGCTTGGAGGGCAAAGCCCTCCCAGCACAATTCTAGCCAAACTGCTATGGTTGTAAGCTTTACCTTATAGTCGGACCCTGAGGCCTAGGTAGCTAAGGGATGTGGGCTGCCCCGGGGAGGGGGGGGGGTGTGCAGCAAGTGCTGCCAAAACAAGGCTTGCTAGAGTTCAGAGAATGGCAACAACAGGAAAGAAGCAGATTTGAAACTGGCAAGAACATTGTAAACATCTTGCCCTTGTTTTACTTTGTGTGATCTGAGTATAAAATAAAGCTTCGTCTTAGAGGCTGTGTCACTGTTTCCTCATCCAGGCACAGTGATCCACCTGGTCCCAACTGTATTCTCTCGTCTGTTTTCTTTAATCCTTCACCTCCCCTCCTCAGGTTCATTCCTAGCTGTGCTGGACGAGGTTCAGAATGGCCCTTCAGAGCTGCTTCAAGGTGGGCTAAGATGGCCAGGCCTTTATGCTCCCTCATCAATCATTCATGCATGTGGCCTCTCCTGCGAAGGGCACAACCTCACGCAAGGCATCCCTCTGCGAGCCAAAAGCACTCCCAGACAACAGGGAGTATCTGGGTGGTACAACACAGGATCCATGACTCCTCTACCCATTTCCTTCCAGTTGTTTCCCATCTCACTCAGAATAAACCCAAAGTCTTTATCATTTCTCTCTGACCTCATCTCCTACCACCCTTCCCTTCACTCACCCCCACAAGCCACATTAGGGACCTGGAAGTTTCTTGAACTTCCCCTTCTCCTACCTCTCACCAGTATACTCCTATCTCCAACACTTGCTATTTCTTCCGTCTGCAAAGTTCTTCCCCACAGATATCTACAGGGCTGGCTCCTTCACTTTATTCAGGTATCTGCTCAAAATTTGTTTCATCAGAGGGGTCTTCTCTCACTAACCTGTAACAAATAGCACACTGCCCTTTCAGTCTGTTCCCTTATTTCACAGTTTTTCTTTTTTAGCACTTAAATCATGACTTAATGTGCACACACACACACACACACACACACACACACACACACACCGTCTGTCCATCTACCACCTCCACTTGGATATAAACTCCACAAAAGACAAGATTTTGGTTTTATTCACTGCCATATCCCCAGTGACTATAACAGTGCCTGGCATATAGTATGTGCTCAATAAGTATTTGTTAACTACAATTATTTTGGGAGCAGAACAGTATTCCACAGTAAATAAGAGCTAAGGCATTGGACTGAAACAAACCTAGGCATTATTTGTGGTTATAAACTTATGAGCAGGGTAATGTAGGATATGTTATTTGCTCTCTCTGCATCTGAATTTTCTCAGTTGTAAAATGTAGATGATTATAATAGTAAATACATAATAGGCTTGTGTGAGATGTAATGGAATAATGTATATAAAGCATCATTAAACACCAGATGAATAACACTGACGATCTAAAAATTACTTATAAGCACAATGCCTAGCTCAATAGTTGGTCATCATTTTTTTCATTTATGATAAACATATGGAATGATTTGTGGTTAGAGTTGTTTTTTATGAACCTGTGATTGTTTAAATTATGTAAATAAATTGTTCAATTCATCATTTTAGCGTGTGCCCTCTAGATAGCCTGGGCTGATTGATATATCATTCTTTTCAATCGGGAGAAATTTGTTTTATTTTATTTTTACATTAGAGAGTTTCAACCCAACAAAAATTTTCATGTGTGGTGTTGGGAGAATGTTTTCATTAAATCCAATGTGGGGAAAGGAAAATTCCAAAGGAATCTTGTGATTTCTTTTGCAGAAAAAAAATCATCCTTTTGCAACCAGAATCATCATTCTATAATTGTTTTTGTAAGTGTGGATGTATGCAAGCTTGAATTTCTGCAACTCTGTGGAAGGACTTGCTGCAATGCTTCTTACAGTGTGTGTATATATTTACTGCATAAAAGGCTCTTCGGCAGTTTTACTGATGGTGAAAATGTAGGAGGGAAGTCAGAAAATACATGTTTAAGCTCTTGTCAATCTGCATACAGAAACAATTTAAAAACTTTAAATAAAAATATCTTCGCAGATTTAAATTGTTATTTCACGAATAGTTTTTAATGTAGTAAACGTTCTTCTGGGCAGTAACAGCAACAAGAGGAAGTATGAAGGGTAGAGAGTGAGAAATAACTTTGAATGTCTGCTGTAGCCCACCCCCCACCCCCCCTGGATTAGCCTAAAAGCAGGGAGATTTGCACTGTAAAGCGGGCTCAAGACCCAGGTCACCCCTATCATTCACTACAAGTGACACCCGCCCACCTAGATCGAAAATCACTGCTTTTAAAGAGCTCGAAATACCAGCCCTCTCTCCAATGAAGTCTTATATTTTGCCATTCTGCGTGACTAATAACGCTAGCTTTAAACAGCGGCAGTAAGAGAACACCAGCGGATTCCTTGAACCGACGAGGAAAAACGCAGGCTGTCAGTTGACACGGGCATCCAATCGGCGCCCGCTTCTCAAAGGCCAATCACAGTTTGTCTTACATCGAGGCGCCGGGGAGCAAGGAGCCGGAAGTGTCAGTCTCCCGGGTGATGCTGCCGCGGTCACCTGGAGGGCTGTGCACTCCCCGGGCTGCATTCATACCTGAGCTCTAAGGGACAAGCAGTTCAGCCCTTTTCTGTGCTGGCTGGGTTTGCTTGTATTTGTTCCTAGTCACCGCTCATGTAATGCACTCCCTGAACCAGGAAATTAAAGCATTCTCCCGGAATAATCTCAGGAAGCAATGCACCAGGGTGACAACGCTAACTGGAAAGAAAATTATAGAAACGTGGAAAGATGCCAGAATTCATGTTGTGGAAGAAGTAGAGCCGAGCAGTGGGGGTGGTTGTGGTTATGTGCAGGATCTTAGCTTGGACCTGCAAGTTGGCGTTATTAAGCCATGGTTGCTCCTGGGTGAGTATATCGATTTGTCATTGAGTCCTTTGATCATATTATTTTATCATTATTTACCTTAATATATTGATAGTTTGTATTATCAGCTGTCCTGCCGAAAAAGTTAAAAGGTTTCCTTTTTTGGACACGGGACTTCCCTCAGCTAGCTAGAGGAGTTTCTGCCCCCATAGAAAGTATAGATTCTAGTAGCACATAGCACCTGGTATTTGAATTTTAGGAAAAACTTTCTTCCTGTTTTTCTAACTCTGGAGAATAACACATTAATGTAGAGGAGGGGGGGAGTATTATTATAAAAGGATATAGTTTTTAAAAATCAAATGAAAAACATGCTTTTATTAGGAAAAACTTCAAGTTTGAATTTAAAGTTATCGAATAGTACTTGAAATAGTCAAGTGCTTGCTTGCCTGTTCTGCTGTTACAAACCATGAGGAAGGCATGCTTCCTGTGACCACATCTGTCCATGGTGGCTGTTTATAGAATGTGAAGGAAAAGGTGGACTTTATTTTATAGCTATGAGTCTGATGGTTTTATGACTTTTTGCATTATGGAAAATACCGATTTTTCTATACAAAGATTAGTCCACAAATAGCAAACAAAGCACAGTTATAAATGTATAAACTTGTTAGCTTGGCAAGAATATGGTACAGTAGTCTTAATAAAATAGTCAACAATTTTTTCAGGTTTGAATTCTTTTTCATTTATGACTAGAGAAATTAAGAATTGGAAAGATTAATAATTTGTCAATATTTATGCAGCCAAGCCATTGTTGAGTGAAAGCACTGGACTGGGAGTCAGAAATAGCCAGATACACACAGCATCTCACTCCTTTTAAAAACTCTGAAGTAGTGATCGTCAGCTCCATTTTACAGATGGGATCTGGATTTAAGATCAGTTAAGTAACTTGCACAAGGTTAAAACACTAGTATTTAATAGCTGGACATCAAGCTCAAGTCTGATTGACTCCTGCTCTCTGTGAACATATAGACTGCCTCAGGGAGTCCAGGTTTTCAGCCCTGCTGTGCCTCTAACTTAACTAGATGAACTAGTGCAAGTCATTTATCCTCTCTGGTCCCCCTAAAAGCCATCTGTAAAGCTGAAGTAACAGTATCTGCTTATCTCATAGGGTTGTTCTGAGGTTGTTGTAAAAGGGCTTTTGTGTTGTACGTGTATCTGTGTGTGGAAGATTTTTGAAACAAACCAATTGCAGTATACATATGAGTTGTGATTGTGTTGTGTATTGTATGAATTGTTACATGAGCTATCTTTAAATTCACCAAATAAATATCTCCAACTAGTTTGTGCAGCAGTGAAAAATTAAGTGGGTTTATAGTCTGGAAACTTAACCCAGGACTTGCACACCTACGAAAGGATATATATCCAGGCACATTTTTCAGTTATTTGGCTTCCATTGTAGTAATAATGGTTTAACATTATTGGAGAATTTTAAATTTTGCTTATTATTACTTTTTTATCTAGACGTATCCAAGGGTACAATCAAGGTAGTCTTCTCATAATGGCATTGGGATCCTTCCCAGGATCCTGGGAGAGTTCTGGAGGGGCTTGTGAAACTGGAAATGGGATCTTTTCATCAGGCACAACCTCCTGTCTTCTGAGAGGAAGCGGGACCTTTTCCTGCTTAGTTACAAGGGCCTCATGCCTGAGGGACCTTGGACGGTTACATCTAAAGTTCTTCCCCATGAATGATGCAGGGGTTGTTTCTGACCAGACTAGGTTTCTTTCTGGAGATGGGGGTTGTTTCTAGGTTGCCTCCAACAGCTTCTTTCACCTCTTCAAAACTACACAACTCCAACCCAGCACTACCTGCCAATTAACTTTTGTTTTTGGTGGAGAATAAAGACAATGGAGAGCTAAATATAATGCATATATTTGTATAAAATATAATCTGTCTTTCTAAAATATAAGTTTAAAATATATTCTGCCTTTTAAAAATATAACCTGTCTTTTTCAGTTAGTTCAGAAATTCAAACAAGCTTCTACCTTTCAAAAATCTCACATAGGCCCTTGAACTATCTGACAGGTTGCTAAAAGATGTTAGTGAGAATTTTTGTCCTAGGCTTTGCAGATTATATTTTTACAAGTTTTTTAAGGACTTTTCTTCAATTGAACTTCATTTGTAAAAGTCGAAAATTTTGTCCTAGCTGGTGTGGCTCAGTTAGTCGGGCACTGAAGAGTCACTGGTTCAGTTCCCAATCAGGGCATATGCCCAGGTTTCAGGCTCGATCCCCAGTGTGGGGCATGCAGGAGGCAGCCAATCAATGATTCTCTCTCATCATTGATGTTTCTCTCTCACCCACATTCACTTTCTCTCTGAAATCAATAAAAAATATATATTTTTAAAAAGGATACTAAATTTGTATCAACATACTCATATTCTGGAAGTCACTTTCAAAATATGGCAGACAACTCTGAAATATAATAGACCTGTTCCTTTTGGTGTGTGTGTGTGTGTGTGTGTGTGTGTGTGTGTGTTTGTGTGTAATGGAAATGATCAAAGTATCCAGCTTTGATAAATATAATATGATAGTTTAGGGTGAAAATAGGAAAGAATTTCTAGTGCATGTTTCTTTCTTTCTTTTTTGTAAGGACTTGTCAAAGTAGAATTATTATTTAAAAAATGAATACATGTTAAACCATCACATTTCAATTAATTTTTTTGATCCAATTTCCCCCCCACTCTGGAGATGGTAAGGACTTCTGATAGAGAGCTGAGAATTTTTTAAATTATGGACTATTTCAAATGCACAGAAAATTTCAGACAATACTATAACAGGCAATTGTGTATCCACCATTCAGCTTTAACAAATGTTAATATTTTGATAGGCTAACTTTTAAGCAAAATAAAGCTCAGTGAGGAGCCTGTGAGCTTTGTATTACCAAGAGAATATTGACCAATCAGCCCACTTACTGGCCTTTCAGCTACCTAAAACCATGTCATAGAAGCTGGCAGATTTCCCCATTAGGTAAGGTAAGAAAAACATTGTTTATGGAAATAAAACCTAATTCAGGAAAGTAAATACTTGAATAATAAATATCCTATTTTTTCATTGTATATACTTTTTCACTTAATTTTAACGAGTTATTCACTTGTAAGAATTTGCTTATTAACAAGAGTCCTTTTCCAAGTGTGGGAAATCTGGAAAGCAACTTTGACAGGAAGAAACTGTAAAAGGGTACAGTGCTAGCGGTGCACAGAATGTGGGTGGAATTCTATAGACCAGCAGTGCTTGCTTTAATCTACTGGGTGTTCCCAAACCAGCTGGTACTAAGTCTTTTTAAAGATATTCTTTTTTTAAATTTCTAAACAAATATTTTTTTGTAAAAAATACAAATGAGCAGAAAGAAGAAAAAAATCACCTGTAACCCCACTTTTAACATTTTGTTCTATATACGTCCTGTCCCATTTTAAGCATACACATTTTTTGTTATTACAAAAATGGATGATGGTATATTATAACCTGCTTTTATTACCTAATATCCTGGGAATATATTTCCATGCCCTATCTAATATCTGTTTATATTTCACTACACAATTGAACCATCTTTTATTTAACCCAATCCCTATTATTGGATTTTTTTTAAAAAAACCTAGATTAAAAACAGCCTATTATTGGGTTTTTGCTTTATTTTTGTGGTATCACAAACAATACTATGATGAACATCCTGATAGCTGATCTTTATAACATCCAGAACTTTTAGAACAGATTCCTAGAAGTGGGAAATCATATACACAGATGAATATTTTTATAGCTATCACCAACTTGTCTTTCAGAAAGTTGTAATGAGGTCCTCCCAAGTTGTTGTTTTTAAAATAAATAAATAAATAACAGAATTGTTGCCAAAATTGGATAAAAAGTCAGGATGATTATGTTCATGTTCAAGGTGATATGACTTTATTTCTTATAGGATCACAAGATGCTGCTCATGACCTGGATACACTGAAAAAGCACAAGGTAAAAAATATATATATCTATGTTTACTGAGGATAATAATACAAAGCAGAGGTGTGAAGAGCTATAGGAGAACAAAGTGTTATGGGACCAGAAGGAATAGATTACTGAACTTGCAGTCCCCTTGCCCTGAACTAAGTATGGCCTACTCTGTCATAAGGTCTCAGTTGAAAAGTAATACCTTCAGAAAGGCCTATCCTGACTCATGTTGCCGCCTCCCAACTCGCCGCATTGCCTCATTTGAATTCTTTCAGAGAATGTATTCTCATCTCAAAATCTTCTTTTAAGAGCAAGGGTCTTACTCCTTGCTCATTTCTGTATCTCCTGAACCTAGAAAGGGGCCTAGCACTCACTTGCTTCATGGGTGAGAGGCAGGGTTGCATTCTTTTCTATACTCCCTGCCTCTCCCAAATCACTTTGTTCCACCCTCCAGTAAAAATTGTTGCTCTTGCCTGGCCGGTGTTGCTCAGTGGTTGAGCATCCACCTATGAACCAGGAGGTCATGGTTGGATTCTTGGTCAGAGCACGTGCCTGGGTTTCAGATTCGATTTCCCAGTAGGGGGATTGCAGGAGGCAGCTGATCAATGATTCTCATCATTGATGTTTCTACCTCTCCCTCTCCTTTCCTCTGTGAAACTAAGATGCAGCCTGGCTGGTGTGGCTCAGTGGTTGAGTGTCAACCTATGAACAAGGAAGTCATGGTTTTGATTCCCATTCAGGGCACATGCCTGGGTTTTGGGCTTGATCCCCAGTAGGGGGTATGGAGGAGGCAGCTAATCAAAGATTCTCATCATTGATATTTCTACCTCTCTCTTCCTCTCCCTTCCTTTCTGAAATCAATAAAAAGATTTTCTTATTTTTTTTATTTTTAATTTTTTAATTTTTTTTTTTAGAAACTAAGACATATGCTAAGAAATAATAAATACAATGACAAGCATGTTAGGACAAGAAACAGTGACTCATTTGTCTTGTCTGTGTAGCCTTTGGATTCTCTTAAAGGACTTTCCATGGCTCCTTCCATATGCTTGGCGGGCTCTAGGAAAGGGGCTTGAATGCATATATGGAGTAGGAGGTTGCTTATGTGAACCATCTGAAAGAAAATCTGTCATAGCCATCGCATGTTTCACCCACACTAATTCATCAGAGCCTTTGGGTTTGATATTTTTTAAAAGCTCACCAGGTGATTCTAATGTGCATCCACACTGGAGAACCATGTACTTACGAAGAGGAAATAATTATCAAAAGGGAAGTTTGTTCTGCTGACACACTTCTCTTAAGTTTTTTATGTGGACATCCATTGACTTATTAAACAAACATTTTAAGTACTTTCTGTGCCAAGGTCACTGCTCATTCACAATGCTCACTTATAATAGTGAGTAAGCGCTCTTGCCAGTTTGGCTCAGTGGATAGAGCGTTGGCCTGTGGACTGAAGGGTGCTGAGTTTGATTCCAGTCAAGGGCACATGCCTGGGTTGCGGGCTCAATGAGGTCAGTGGGGGAAATAGAAGACCCATGTAATACTTTAAACAATAAAGAATTTAAATTTAAAGAAATAATAATAATAGTGACTAAGCTACACATGCTCCCTACCCTGGTGGAGTTTCTAATACAGTGAAGGAGACAATCTCTAAGAGGTAAGGGTTATAATGGGAAAAGTAGAGAGTGCTATGAAAATATATAGAAATAGCACCTCAGTGAGGGATGAAGCATCAGATCAGGCTTTCTTGAGGAAATATTATTTAAGTGCGCTTCATGCTTAAATTGTGTATTCTTGTTACAATCTCAACATCCCAGCCTCTTTTTAATTAACCTACTTCATGAGAATTTTTTAAAATCATCCTTTTTTTTTTTCCTCTTTAAGGTGACTCATATTCTCAATGTTGCATATGGAGTTGAAAATGCTTTCCTCAGTGACTTTATATATAAGAGCATTTCTATACTGGATCTGCCCGAAACCAATATCCTGTCTTATTTTCCAGAATGTTTTGAATTTATTGAACAAGCAAAAATGAAGGTAAGTTTGGTTTTGATCCAAAGTTCTTCAGAAGCAGAAATTTTAAAATATGGGTCCATTACTTAGTTTTTATTCTTTTTGTAGTGAATATGTAAAGAACCATTATGAAACAATATTTCATGAATTCCTACAACTATTTAGTTCTCTAATTGCTCTTTTCTCAATGATATATTCATTTTCAAAATTAATTTCTCCTCTTCCTATGCCCGTGTATATATGTACTTAGATTTCCTCTGACAGTTTAATAACCCACCTGCCACTGATCAATTTGTAAGCTACTCAAGTGGACTGTAGGATAGAGGTAGCTCTAGTCCTATTAATGTATTTATGAAAATTAATGTGCATTTATTTTTGTGGCCACAGTAGGGATTGTGAATCTGTGCGTTTTAACAATAGAATTTTAGGGTGCTCTAAGAACTGAATGGGTAAGGAACACCTGATTATTAATGACAGTTAACATTAGACTCCAGTTTAATTGAATTTTGTCTAATGATCTCCTTTCTGCCTTTTCCATCCCTTTCTCTCTCCTCTCCCTTTCTGTCTCTCTCTCAAATCAATAAAAACATATTTTTTAAAAAGTTCATTTGAAAGTTTTTATCAGATATTACACTATGATTTTAAAATATCTTCAGCCTCATCAAAATGAACTATTGTACAAAGTGACAAAAGTTTCATATGTGTATAGTGAATATTTGTGTTTCACTTTTCTTGTACAAAAAGTTAATATCCGGAAATGACTCAAATATATATACACACTAGAGGCCTGGTTCATGAAATTTGTGCTCTGGGGGGTTGGGGGAGGGGGGTCCCTCAGCCCGGCCTGTGCCCTCTCGCAGTCCAGGAGCCCTTGGGGAGCGGGCCTAAGTGATTACACTATTATCTTCAGTCTCATCAAAATGAACTATTGTACAAAGTGAGAAAAGTTTCATATGTGTATAGTGAATATTTGTGCTTTGCTTTTCTTGTACAAAAAGTTAATATCCGGAAATGACTCAAATATATATACATACTAGAGGCCTGGTGCACGAAATTCATGCACTGGAGGGAGGCGTCCCTCAGGCCGGCCTGTGCCCTCTCACAGTCTAGGAGCCCTTGGGGAGCAGGCCTAAGTGGTCAGTTGGACATCCTTAGTGCTGCCACACAGGTGGGAGAAGCTCCCACCACTGCCGCTGCACTCACCAGCCTGTGAGCCCAGCTTCTGGCCGAGCAGTGCTTCCCCTGTGGGAGCGCACTGACCACCACGGGGCAGCTCCTGCATTGAGCGTCTGTCCCCTGGTGTCAGTGTGCATCATAGCGACCAGTCGTTCCACTGTTCGGTCGATTTGCATATTAGCCTTTTATTATATAGGATAAGAAAATAATTGAAATTGTCTTTTTGATATGAGGATTTTCAAAATATTAACTAATTTTGTTGTGGGTCACTTGGATTTCTTGAAATGAGATGCACTTGCAAATTTGTTACAACAGATCTAGGCAAGGAATTTTGCAACGGATTTATGAATCTGAGAAAACTGCCTTGCAAAAGTAAAATAAGTCAATGAACTATAAACATAGTATTGCTAATATATGCTTTGGGTAGAGAGTTTTTAGTTCTAAGTTTTGTTTTTTTTTACCCCTTCCTCTGTTTCAATCTTTTACCACAAGAAGAATCAGGAAATTAAGTAACTAAAATGTCTAGTTCTGTAGTGTGTCCCACAGTTCACTACATTTCATTCAGAACATTAACTTTTTAAAAGCCTGAAACAAGCCAACCTGTATCAGTGGTGTTCCATCAGATCTATCACATTCATTATTAATGCAATATTACCCCCATCAGCATTGGTCTTACACTGTGTCTCTTTTCACTTACAAAGTATCATTTTCAAGCTACTTGAAACGTTATTCATTTATTGACCTCATGCTGGTGTCTAGTTACCTTTCCTACTTCACATTGTCATGAGCTATTTGTGTCATTTTACTACATCATAAGTTTACCTTATTTTTTTTAATTTTTAATATTTTCCATTACCATTTATCCCCCCTATATCCTCCTACACCTCAACTCCCCCAATCACCAGACTGCTGTCCAACTTCCCTCCAGAATATATCTAAAGGTAGAAAATTGTTTTCCTTGCTGATCATTTTACACAGAGATTTCCAAACTAATGCCACTATCTTTATGGGAACACTCTGTGTACATGGAATATCTCAGGCTTTCTGTTTAGTTTATGGTTATGTTTTCTTCATTAAGCTTGTATGTGTACTTTACTGGATTATTTCAGTTTAACAAAGGATACTGTTTCAGAATTCCAAAGACCTCATCAAAGCACTTCAATCCTAGCAGTTGGAAAGAGGAGGTGTTGGTTGATCAAGTGATTAGTTTTTCCATTCTTTCCTTACAATGAATTGTATTTTTATAATTGAATAAATTGATAGGATGAATATCTATATATATAAAAGGCTAAGCGACTAGCCGACCGGCCAACTGGCCAGTAGGTATGATGCGCATTGACCACCAGGGGGCAGACGCTCAACACAGGAGCTGCCGAGTGACAGCAACTTTGCAGAGTGCCCTCTTGCACTCCGGGACCCATTGGGGGATGTTTGACTGCGGGTTTCGGCCCGATCCCTGCAGGCCAGGCCAAGGGACCCCACCTGCCAGAGGGACCCCGCTCACTCCGCAGATGCCCTTCAAGCCCCAGTGCCACCACAGGTGCAGCCAGCAGGGGAGGGACTGAGAGAGATTGGCTCCAGGGTGTGTCTGGCCTGTCTCACCCAGTCCTGCCCCGCCGGCCGCCTTCTAATTAATTTCCTTTCAATGTGCACAAATAGGTGCACTGGGCCTCTGGTTTTTTATAATTTTTAATAGTATAAGAATGTACTATTGATTTAATAACCTTTCTTAAATTAATAATGAAGAGTTTTGTTTGATTTTTATTGCAGGATGGAGTGGTTCTAGTCCATTGCAATGCAGGGGTTTCCAGGGCAGCTGCAATTGTAATAGGCTTCCTGATGAATTCTGAAGAAATCTCATTTGCCACTGCTTTTTCTTTGGTGAAAAATGCAAGGCCTTCCATATGTCCAAATGCTGGTTTCATGGAACAGCTCCGTACATATCAAGAGGGCAAAGAAAGCAATAAGTCTGACAAAATACAGGAATTAGAAGGAGACAACAGTTCATGAGTTACATTCTAGCAGATGATGGACAACTAGTTTCTGAATTGGCTTCTATAACCACCTTTCCCCTTTTTGTAGTTTAATAAAAACTTCCTTTTCTCTTGCCTTTTTTTTTTTAGTGAAAATGAAGGTCAATTGATTGTCCTGAGATAGCATATAAATAATTTTTAAAATTATATCATGTTTCTTTGGTATTATAATGTGTGATTAAATGCTTCTTTGATTTGCTAAGGGAGAATAACAATGTATTACCAATAATTGATTTCTGTAGAAGAAAAAATGCTTAAATTTAAAAATCTGTGTTAGAGCATGGAAAGGTTAAATCAGTGATTAAGACTTTTCTATTCCAGCAACTGTATCCAGGAAGGAAAAAACTTGAAATGCTACTTGACTTACCATTTCAGAAGGAGATAAATTTCTTCATAAATAATTTAAGATTAAAAACCAATATCCTGCCCTAGCTGGTTTGGCTCAGTAGATAGAGCGTCGGCCTGCAGACTGAAGGGTTCCAGGTTCGATTCCAGTTAAGGGCACATGCCCGGGTTGCCGGCTCAATCCCCAGTAGGGGGCGTGCAGGAGGCAGCCAATCAATGATTCTCTCTCACCACTGATGTTTCTATCTCTTCCTTCTTCTCTGAAATCAATAAAAATATATATACTAAAAAAAACAACAATCAATACTGTAAACCTTCCAAAGGAAGTAACCAAAATGTGAAGGTTTACACAATATTTACATAGTGGTTACAGTATTCACAAAATTTTTATGTCCTTTTGTACCCACTTTTTATTTTGATTTTTAAAATTTAATTATATACCCTGCATTTATTTATAAGTTTTTGTGTAGATTTTTTTCTCATACATTATTGTGAGCTTATGGTTCTTTAATTAGGTGATCTAGTCTCTTGCATTGTGTGTTTTTCATCTTGGGTCCCTAGCATTCTGTTTTTTGGGTCCCAGGCATAATTTTTTTATCTTCTTAGATCTGTGGAAAAACATTTTGTACTGAAAATTTGTTTTTTAGTTGTCATTTGTTCAATGATCTGTTTTCTAGTTCAATATTCTACTAGATAACATATTTTAAGGAAACAAGGATTATGGCTTTATAAGAAATTTTAAATATATTGTTAGAAAGCCTAAAATTATTTATAATGTTACCTCTGGCCAGAGGCTTTGAATGGTTTGTTTTTTAAAAATAAAGTCTCCATATTGGCAAGGCTGTCCTCCACATTATAAATTTGCTTAAAGATATTCTTTGACTTATTCAAAATAAAATGTACTTAAAATTAATATAATTATAAAATGATTTATTCAATAGCTTTCAAGCAACCTTTCATGACTTAGAAAATATCATAGCCATTAAGATTTTATTAAGAAAGTCAACTCTTCTTAAATACATATTCTAGAGAGCTAGTATACTGCCATATGTAAGTTGGAAAGTGCTCATTGAGCCCAGCTGTGCATTTGAGAAAGTAGGCCTTCCTGTGCTGCCAGGAGCAAACAGGCGTGATAAATGCAAATTATGTCTCGAGACTGCTTATAGCTTGATAAGATGCTATCACGTGCAAAACTATGAACTCTGCTTCTGTTGAGAAGCAGTATAAATGTAATCAACCTACAGTGAGTTGTCTGAAGCCAACCAAGGCAGACAGAATCCTCTTAAATATGAGACTGATGTTGTCTCTGTAGTCAGTATTGCTGAGGGTTTGCAGGGTGAACCTTTTCCATTCACATGAAAACATTTATTTAAACACATTTTCTTTTGCTAGGTGCTATTTAGTTTTCAGCCATTAAATGTTGTAACCTGAAGCCTGAATAGAACTGGTTCATAATGGGTAGTGTATTACTTATGTCTGTATTTTGTGTGCTTAGCTGTTGCCTGTAGTGATCTGGTTATGGTGCAAGCGCATATCTTCTGTATCATCTACAGAAGTGCTTTGAGCATCTGTTTTATTTTATCTTAAATGATAGCAGTTTGCTATATCTAAAATAGATCAACAAATGTAACTCACTCTTTTAAATTAGGGGTACTATGGAAGGCAATGCTGGGAAATATGTATATAGTATTTTTATTGTGTTTTCCATGGATATGTCACTCTGTCACACCTGATTATTTATAAAAAGGAATGTTACCATTATAATTCTTTATCTCTTGTATTATACATTTAAAAATATATACCAAATATACATCTGTTTTGAAGGAAAGGGAATAATATTTTAAGGAGTTTTAACCTCTATTTTAAAATAGAATTTTCTACCATTTTTTTAAAGGAAAGAGGAAATGAAAGTATCATTTGTTTTTAAACATTGGAAAGAAATAATAGAGCCTTCCTAGCAACTTGAGAAAGATGAGCAGAAAAATGGTACTGGGATATATGATAAAATTCTATTTATTTGAAGTTAATATTTTTTTGAATGTTTTGCTGACTTTGTGCTTTAATATAAGTTTGTGATGTCATATAGTTTGAACTGAAAACCACTAAATATTTAAATTTTTGGAAAACTGAAGAAATCTTTTTCTTAAGTTCCTTTGGACAAAATTTAGACCATTATATTAACTTAAAGATTTCAAAGGATATGGAGTATAGTATTTGAAAATTGTTATTGCAGCCTGGCCTGTGTGGCTCAGTGGTTGAGCATGGACCCATGAACCAGGAGGTCATGGTTGGATTCCGGTCAGGACTCATGCCTGGGTTGCGGGCTTGGTCCCCAGTGCAGGAGGCAGCCAATCAATGATTCTCTCTCATTGATGTTTCTCTCTCTCTCTCTCCCTTCCTCTCTCTGAAAGCAACATATTTTAAAAAGTTGATTTTTCTGCCCAAAGGATCCTGAACATATTTAGTTACTCAGTAGTTATTTAAGAATTTAAACCAGAAGATTTTAAAGTTTTATATTCTTGCAATACATACAATGGCATTTGCAGTTAACAAATTTGTGGTTGTTTCCATTGGTATACTTTTAAAGTAACGTAAACTTTTCTATTTCAAGTGAAGCTTGACTTATTTTGTAGCTGTATTTATAATGTACTCTTTATTGTTTCCAAGTATTGAAATACTTTAATAAAATAATAAATTGTATTATTTCCCCTTAATACCTTTATTTCTTTGAGGTTATTTGTTTTAAAAGATTTAACAACTGTTGTCAAATTCTGGGTTCAAATATCTGTTGACAGGATACAAAATTATACACTTTGCAATATAAATGTTTAAGTTCTATAAAGATTTATTTGCTCCAGCCACTTTAAGAAATGAAAAGCTAAAGTAAGATATTATAATTGGCATTACAGTGGATAAATTGGCATTGAAAATACAATAGAACATCCTAGTATTTTAAGTCAGGAGAAGATCCTGAATTATTCTCAAGTTAAACTACTTGAAAATTCTAACCATGACATCATTGAGATAAGTCAGACATCATCCAGCACCCACCTACCACTTCACACATCATTACTTCTCTGACATACTCATTGCCCACTGCTTTCTCCCTCGCTCTCCCTGTTTTAACCAAACTGGCCTCTTGGCTGTGCATTCCTTGAAAATGCATAATCAAGGTTCCACTTCATTATCTGCTGTTACCTCCACCTGGGACACTTTCCCCCAGAAACATCAAGTGTTACCTTCTTGGTAAAGCCTTCTCTAATCACCTTGTTTAAAATTGTTCCCATCTCTAACATTTTTATCCAGCTTTCTTGTTTTATATATGGCATAGCCCTAATTATCACCAAAATTCTATATACTTATTTTATTGTTTTCCTCATCAAAACTTGGGCTCCCATGAGGATTTTGGTATAGATAAACATCATTTACTGTGATGTTTATCTATACCAGGTGTATCCCATAGTAGGCATTCAAAAAATTGCTTATTAGAAGGGAGGGAGGATGAAAGAAAAAATATTGATGCATTCCTCCCCAGGTTATATAAGTTTTGATGTTACTTTTTCACTTTCAATGGGTAATAAGAACCATTTAATTGAGTAAAAGATAACAGGCGAATCAGCAGCTAAACTGATGCTTCTTTTGGTATTTGGCTGCCCCTTTTCTGCCAGTTGTTTACTGTAATGAAATGATTAGGAAAAAACATGTTTCCAAATGTAATATTTATTTTAATTTATAAAGACATAGCTTTGGTCATTATTTATAGAGATCAGATAATGCAAATTACAATTAGTGGATTTGTATATTTTGGACATTCCTACCCTCCTGCCTCAGTCTGTTTGGGCTGTTATAATGGAATACCACAGACTGGGTGACTTATAAACAACAGAAATTTATTTCTCAGAGTCTGGAGGTTGGGAAGTCCAACATCAAGGCACCAGCAGATTTGGTGTCTGGCGAGAGCTGGCTTCCTGGTTCACATATGGTAGTCTTGTTGCTGTGTCCTCACATAGCTGAGGGGGTGCCCCGCCCAGGGATCGAACCCACAACCTTCTTGGTGCATGAGACAACACTCCAAGCAACTGAACTTTTTTAACAGGTACATAATGTTGTTTTGCTTGGCTAGATAAACATTTATATAGAAATTCCTTCATTGGTGAACCTTTCTTGCGACCTTAATTCTAAAAAGGGAATTGCTGGGTGTGGTGGGCTGAATGATAGCCCTCAAAAGATGTTCCCACGCTAACCTCTGGATCCTTTATGAGTGTTTTCTTACACAGTAAAGGCTCATTTATGATGTAATTATTAACTTAATCACCACCACTAGACATTGGAATGGTAAGATTATCCTGGATTGTATGAGTAGGCTCTAAATGTAATTACTAATAATGTCCTTCTAAGAGGGAGGCAGAGGAAGATTTTACTCACAAGGAGGCCATGTGATGACAGAAATAGAGAGAAGCAGTGTCAGAGACATAGATGCTACTCAGCTGGCTTTGAAGGGGGAGGACAGAGCCTCTAAGAGCCAGGAAATATGGTTAGCCTCCAGAAATTAGAAAAGGCAAGAAAACATTCTCTCCTAGAGCCACCAGAAGAAACCAGTCTTGCTGACACCTTGAAATTAGCCCCATAAAACTCATTTCAGATTTCTGGCACCCAGAATTGAAAAAGATAGATTTGTGTTGGTTTAAGCTGCCAACTTTGAGGTAATTCAGTATGACCTCGTCTGAACT